AGAACCCAGAATAATATTCAACAATCTAATTTCTAATCCAAAGGAAATAGATGAAATATTAAAAAATGGAGCAAATAAAACAAGAATTATTGCCGATAAAACTCTTCAAAAAATAAGAAAATCATTAGGATACTCGGCATGAAAGAAAGAAAAGATATGTCTTTTTTATCGCATATTGGCGAATTAAGAAAACATCTTATAAGAATAACTATTGCTTTGATAGTTTGTGCATTATTAGTAGGGTTTAACCTAAATTATATTATAGATAATTTCTTTTTTGCACCTTTAAGTAAGGATTTTATTACATATAGATATTTAAATGAACTAAGTCAAAAATTTTCAAATTATAATATGTTTGATAATTTAAAAGATATAAAATTACAAAATCTTCAAATGGCAGGTCAATTTCAGGCTTACATGTGGGCATCAATTATCGGTGGTTTGATAATAGCATTACCTTATATTTTTTATGAGTTATGGAAGTTTATTGAACCAGCACTTATGCCAAAAGAAAAAAAATATTCCGGAGCCTTTATTTTTTTTAGCACCTTATTATTTATTATTGGTGCATTGTTTAGCTATTTTTTAGTAATTCCATTCTCTGTTCAGTTTTTTTATAACTTTCAATTAGGCATGGATGGAGTAACAGAAAACCATTGGCAATTAGCCGATTATAGCGGAATTTTTGTTCAAATAACATTAGGTATGGGTATCATATTTCTCTTCCCTATGATAGTATATTTTTTGACTAAATTAGACATAATTACTCCCCACTTTTTAAAAACATATCGAAAACATGCCTTCGTAGTTATATTAATATTAGCTGCCATAATTACCCCAGCAGATGTTGGAACTATGATAATTGCAACAGTACCACTTTGGTTATTATACGAAGGAAGTGTTTTAGTATCAATTTTAGTACATAAAAACGGAAAAGATTTAGAAAGAATTTAGTTGTCCATTTATTTTTATCTAAAAATATGTCAGTAACATTTTAATAAACAATTAATTAGCTCCGTGAATATTACTTAAATCAATTTGGAGTGTGCCCATCAATTATCAAAATAATAAAAAAAATTATTTGTAAAAAAAAAAATTACTAACTTTGCAATGATATCTTTTTTATAAAAACAAACAAAATATCTTGATTTAGGTTTTTCTCAAGGTATTTATACAAAGGGATTTGATGAATTTTTAGATGATGATAACATAAAAAACACAAGTGGTATACTTGAAGTTTTATGATTTAAAAGATATAGAGAAATATCCTCTTATTCAAATTCTTAATGAAGCTATTGCAGTTCAAGATAATTATTTATAAAAAAATTAAAAAAAATATAAAAAATGAGAAATATAAGTTTATTAATTGTTGGATTTATGATTTGTACACAATTTGTATTAGGGCAAAATCAGGAAATTGAAAAACCTATGGAGGGAAAATCAAAAGTTTATTTTACAAGATACCAAGGATTAGGGGTATTAGTTAATTTTAATATATATGATTGGGATAAATATATTGGTAAAAGTGTATATGGGCAGTATGTGGTATATGAATGTGATCCGGGGAAGCATATTTTTTGGGCAACTTCGGAAAATAGAGATTACTTGGAAGTAGATTTAGAAGCGGGTAAAACATATGTTGTAGATGTAGAGCCACAAATGGGTGCTTTTATAGCTCAAGTGCAATTAGAACCAAAAGATCCTAATAATTATAAAGACCAAAAATTATTTTATAATGTAATTAAAAAACATAAGAAAAGAGACACTTCAGAAGATTTGTTAGAGGATAGGACTGATAAAATACAAGAAGGAATTAAAAGATACGAAAAGATTAAAGATGAAAAATCAAACGGTATAAAAACACTTGAGACAAATATGAATTTTGAAAATGCAAATAAGCCGGTTAAACAAAAAAAATAACTTTAAAGATATTCCTTATTTCTAATAATCAATATGTCCTAACATTAATAAAAATGCATATTCTAAAGCAATTTCTTTAAGTGATTCAAATCTTCCGAAAGCTCCGCCATGTCCTGTATCCATATTACATTCTAATTAATATGTAATATTAGTTATTATCTTCATTCGGTTGATCTTCTTTAGTTTGTTTTGATTTTTTCTTTTTTATATAATAATAAATTCCTCCTCCAAGTAAAAATAGAGGCCAAAACGGAAGTAAAAATAAAAATATACCCTGTATAGCTTCCCAACCTTTAGAAAAGGCATTAACACTTTTTCCTCCAAAAGATTCTGAACTATCGGAATCAGAGATTTTTTCATATAGTGTAATGTCTAAATGACATACAGCATTTTCAGAATAATCATGACCTTCATAAACCATACTTTTATTAACTACTTTGCCTACTTGCTCAATATCTTCTAATAAGTTATCAAATTGTTGATAAGGAACTTTAATTTCCATATAATTAGTTAATCCTTCTTTGGTGGAAGAAAGATGCTCGTTTTGTATAATTCCATCATACTTATTGATGCTTTCATTAATAGTTTGTGTAGCTTCATTCATATTATTAACATCAATTTCTAAACTTACAGTTTCTGTCTTTGGATTGACAGATTTTTTCTGTTCTTTTTGAGGACTTTCTCTGTAAATAATTTTGGTTTCTTTAATAATTTTAGGTGGAGTAGGTGTAGAAGCACCGGCTACAGTTTCTTTAACAGAGTCTCTTTTTTCAGGTGCTTTTTTTACTTCAGATGTTTTTATTGTATTTGCAACTGAATCTATGCTCCCAATTCCTTTTTCTGTTTTCTCCTGAATTTTATCTTTCTGGTCTTCCAACTTATTGATTTTAGCATTTACAGAATCAATAATTGTATCTTTTTCACTGATTTTCTTACTAATCTCATTCGTAAGACTGTCTGCTTGATTATAACTTTCTTCTGCTTTTTTCAATTCGGATTTATTGCATGCAACTATAATTAACCCCAAAACTAATGTTATTCCTATTTTTTTCATAATTGATATTTTTTTGTTGTTGTAAAATTATATTCAAACATGAATTAATAAGTTGCAAATAGTATGTATTTTATTTGTAAACTATAATTAATTAGTAATGTGTAAGTTATTATTTGTTTTACAAAAGATTTGCAAAGTAAATAGATAGATTTTCTTTGGGTAGTAACATTAGATTTTAAATAACCATCTGCTAAAAATGGTTTAAAAACCGGTCTTTATAAGATTGAGAAACTTCAATTTCATCACCGTTTTGCATAATGACAGACCCACCCGAACCTTTTTGATAGGATTGCAAATAATGAGAATTAATAATGTGAGAACGATGTATGCGAATAAAAGAAGAAGATAATACTTCTTCAAAATGTTTTAAAAATCGGCATATCATTTTTTTGCTGCCATCTTTAAAATATATTATGGAAAAATTCCCATCTGCTTGAATGCGAATAATATCGGTTGTTTTGACGACTTCGAATCCAGTCATAGTAGGGAGGATAAGTTGTTCTTTTTCAGGCTGATTGAGGTTTTGAAGGAGGATTTTATTTCGGTTAAATGTTTCTTTATTTTCTAAAGTTTCTTGCACTTTATTAACAGCGGTTATTAATTCTTGAATATCAATAGGTTTTAAGATATAATAAGCCGCACTCTTATTAAGTGCCTTTAAAGAATATTCGGAAAAAGCAGTAATAAAAATGGTTTGATAATCTAAGTTTTCTGTGGCTTGTAACACATCAAAAGCATTTCCATAAGGCATTTCCACATCTAAAAAAATGAGTTGTGGCTTAACATCATTCATTAATGGCACAGCATGTTTAATATTTTCGGCTTCTCCTATGAGATTAATTTGAGGGCAATATTTTGTAATATAAGCACTTAGAACTTCGCGTGCCATCTTTTCGTCATCTATGATAATTGAATTTATTTGCATTTAGACATAGTGTTTAATTTGACATATTTTTTTTATGAAAGCTTATCTTGTTGGATAATGACTTTTACGCCTTGCTCTTGTTCTTCTATTTTACATATAATATTTTTATGATACAATTCATTGAGGAGTTTAATTCTCTCCAAAGTGTTTTTCATGCCTCTGCCGGTATGCTTTTTTTGGTGTTCTGTTTTGTGTTCTTGACTTGCCTTTAGCCCTATGCCATTGTCTTGAATAATAATGGTCATGGAACTATTGTCTAATTTTATACTTAGGGACAATTCTCCTTTTCCATCTTTATACCGTAGCCCATGCCAAATAGAATTTTCTAAAAAAGGCTGAATTAACATACTCGGTATGAGGATATTTGAGTCAATTGCTTCATTTTGGATATCTATTTTATAATCAAATTTATCTTGAAACCTACTTTTTTCCAAGGCTAAATAGTTTTCTATCATTTCAATTTCTTGAGCAATAGGGATAAAATCATTTTGTGAATTTTCCATAATATTTCGCATAAGTCTTGAAAACTTCGTCAAATATTGATTGGCTTCCAATTCATTGTTTTGAGCAATAAAATGATTGACCGAGTTTAAACTATTGAAAATAAAATGAGGGTTCATTTCTCTCCGCAATGATTGTAATGCAATTTTTTTATTTTTTATATTAAGTTTTTTAAGAGTCCATAAAATTAAAAAAATTAATCCCATTAATATAACCACAAAGGCTAATAATCCATAATTCAATGTGTTTTTTTGAGTGATTAATTTATCTTGCAGAACTTTTTCTTTTTCAAGTTGTTTAATTTTGGTCTCTGTTTCCGATATAAGTTTTTGATTGACAAGTGATTTGTCTTTTTTAATAACCTCCGGCAACCGACTTAAAAAATTTTTATAAAGATTTAAAGATATTTGTGGTTTACCCATGCTTCGGTATAAACTGTCTAATTTTTCAATGCTTTTTTTAGCCTCTAAGGTATGACCTTTTTGTAAAGAAAGAAGATAAGCATCATTTAATAATTGAATAGCGTGGTCAGGGTCATTTTTTTGAACATAAATATCGGCTAATTTTTGTATTTCTTGTGCTTTTATTTCCGTATTTTCTTGTATAAATTCCTGTTTAAGAGCGTCTTTTTTAATTTCAATAGCTTTATTATAATCTTTTTTTTGGACATATAAATTCGCTAATTGATCATTAAATCCCAGCGCAGATAGTGAATTGTTTTCTAAACTTATTTTATAAGCATTATCCAAGTTATTAACCGCCCCTGTAAAATTATTTTGTTGAGCTAAAACGTCTGCTAATTGTGAGTAGTTATCGGCTAATTCTTCATTGTTATTCTCTTTTTTATTAATACTTATATTTTCTTGGATAGCCTTTTCTTGAGCTTCAATAGAATTAGAAGTTAATCGTATTATATCATTATTATTAACTTCTTTATCCTGTGCATTTAAGTATTCGCTTGCTGCTTTAAAATTTTTTTTAGCCTTTCCCTGCTTGTTTAGTTTTTCTTGCGAAAGAGCTAATTTTACAGGGGCGGTTAATAACTTGGATAATGCTTATAAAATAAGTTTAGAAAACAATTCACTATCTGC